CATGAGGAGCATAACTGGCTTTGGGATGTTGGAACTGTGCCTACACATGTGCCAGAGGCTGAGATCTGGGCAAGAGTAAGTCCCCATGGTCTCCCATCCCAATAGGTGGGATGAGAGTTGTTGAGAGTATAGGAACTATTTATCCCGATGGCCTCATAAAAGGGTGGGGATCCTGGGTAGCACAGCCAACAGGGGTCAGTAAGAGAGGGAGTGGTATGATTAAGGGTTTCTACTACAGCTTGCACCATCTCCCACATAGGGTTGCTGGGAGTCTGTGGTTTCGCAGCTGTCCCTGGCCTATCTGTGGCTGGGGCTGCTGATGTCGTTGCGGTGCCTGATGTCTTGAAAGTGGGCCTAGGAGACCCAAGCGGGGGAAGTTGGGGCCTCAGACTAGGGGTATTTAACACCGGGTTAGGTCCTACCAGCGACCTAACCACTGCCTCGACCTGGAGGAAGATCACAACAAGACCCCCCTCCGTGGCATCTGGTGGGCATCAGGCCCCATGTCAGCCCATCTATCCACCTTTTATCATTTTTTCCTTTGAGGTAAAAGTGATTTTAACCTGGTTGGCCAGTGGAGATACTGTCCATTGGTTGTATGAAGAAGTAAACCTCATATCAATCAGGTCAGGGGAAACCTCCCATCTCCACCGCCCATCATTAACTTCCACACAATTCCATTCAGCACAGTAGAGTCTATCAGCACCCCCACAATTGCGCCTCCACCAACCTGTCCGAAAACCTGGGCAAGCAAAGAACCCGTTTGCCCACACAGCTTGGAGGTTGACTGTGGATGATGAGTCAACCAAAGCCCATTTTTTTCATATAATACTGTTCCTGATGGTTTCTCTGGGGGAGGTGATAAAATTGCCCCAGTACAAGTTCTAAGTCAACATACAGATCTGGCCACCATATCCACAATGGGGCTGTATGAGAGGTGCAGTTCCATCCTCACAGGCATCACCGCTTCGCAGGATCTATGTCTGATGTACCGGTTGGTGGGGGTTGATGCTCCGGGCTCCCACTGACACCACTGTTCTCTGGAGGGCCCATAACAGTGAGTTCATCAGCAGGAATCCCTTCATTTTTGGCTCAGATGTAGCTTTAAGGGATTAGCAGGATTTTGCCGCACCTCCCACTCCTTCACACAGGATTCTGGGTCCTTGAGAGGCAAGGCCTTCCGAACTTGGGTGTGATGGGCCCAGGGAGCGATGCCGTCAACCTTAAAGGCAGTGGGGGTGGTAAATAGCACAACATAAGGTCCCTTCCATCTGGGTTCAAGAGTCTTAACCTTGTGTCTTTTGACCCAGAACATGTTCCCTGGGACTATGCCATGTTCCGTGCTCGGAATTCTCTCACCTTCATGATATGCTCTGATCAGGGGCCAAATTTCTTGCTGTACCTTGGCAAGAGCTTGCAACACACTCAAATAGTTGGGGGTTGGGTCCTCTACACTGGGGAGCTGTACTCGCAGAGTTATGGGTGGAGGGGCCCTATACATTATCTCGAATGGAGTTAATCCGTGCACATAGGGGGAGTTCTGAGCACGGAAGACAGCTAAGGGTAGGAGGGTCACCCAGTCGCCACCAGTCTCCATTACCAATTTAGTGAGGGTCTCCTTCAAGGTCCGATTCATTCTCTCTACCTGCCCAGAGCTTTGTGGGTTGTATGCACAGTGCAATTTCCAATCCGTCCCCAGAGTTCGGGCCAGTCCTTGCAGGACTTTACTAATGAAAGCCGGGCCATTATCGGAACCTATGGCCTCAGGGATCCCATATCTGGGGACTATCTCTTCTATTATTCTTTTTGTTACTACCTGGCTGGTCTCGTGCTTGGTTGGAAAAGCCTCTACCCACCCTGAAAAGGTGTCTATCATAACCAGCAAATACTTGTACCCATACTTTCCTGGTTTTACTTAGGTGAAGTCTCTTTCCAAAGTCCTCCCTGGAGCCCTCCCTCTCTCCCGCATACCTGCTGGGTGCACCCCCTTGGGGGCTGGTCTTAGCATGGCGCAGCTATTGCATTCCCTCATGATTTGGCGTGCCGCCTTGCTCTGGTGAGGAAACACCAACTGCGCAGTCTGAAAAAGGCTGAACAACTTTTTCCAGCTTAAATGGGTGGACTTGTGCAGATTAGCAAGCAAGTACTGCCCTAGTGCTTCTGGCAGGATTAATCTATCTTCCTGGTTCCTATTCCAACCTCCCTCCTTAAGCTCCTTCCCTGGGACTCGCTTTGTAATCCATTCAAGGTCCTGAGGGGAATAGTTAGGGTTGGGAGGCAGGGCTGGTAGTTCAGGGATGGGCACCTTGATAGCTGCAAGTATAATGGAGTCCAAGAGGGCCACCCTCCTAGCTTCCATATCAGCAAGGTTGTTGCCAATGGCCTCAGGAGTCTTCTTTGACTGGTGGCCCAGCATGTGTATAACTGCTACTGCTTTTGGTTTTTCAACAGCAGCTAGCAACCTTTGGACTTCTTGAAAGTTTTTTAGTTCCTTTCCTTCTGCAGAACAGAATCCTCTTTCCTGGTAGATGGCGCCATGGACATGGA